ATGATGAGAAAATCTATTGTAACGTATACGGCAATGAGAATGCTTAATGTAAGAGCGGCAATTTTTTCTGCTTTAGTGAATTTTACACTCAAATATACGATTACTGCAAAGGTGACTGATCCCCAACAGACAGATAACATCACTTTGTACCAATGCTTCAGAATGTTGTGATGTTCGTGGGGCTTAACCGTTGCCAGCGCTCTGTCGATGCTTATAACTGCCAAATGGTTTATAGAACAACCGGTTGAAAGGAACACTGACATTATGTAGACCATATCGACTCCACGGGAGCATGSATTTCCTCTGGTTTTCAGAAAAACCTGTAATGCAAACATCGGCTGTGCAACTGTAGTCACTAACAGATCAGTCACTGCTAAGCTTAGGAGAAGAAAATTGGATGGTCTTTGTCGAAGCTGAGGTGTTGTTAAAATAGCAAAGATTATCAGGAAGTTTCCAAATGTCCCGGTAATGGAAAGAAGAAAATTAATAGCAACAATTGTCGCTCCATGAGAAAGGGGAAGGCCAAACTGGTCACTTGACAATGAAGTCGTTTTTGTAACATTTATTTCCAGAGTGTCGTTAAAAAGAAGCATATTTCTTCTCTGTGTCGATGAAGACGTGGGAATACTATGAAAATGTAAATACCATGTGTTAAGAGGTTTTGATGTATCTTTAGGTAGTTATCTTTTGTAAACTAAATATGTTTTCCTTGTAATTATACATCATGCTTTGAAAGTGAGCATTCTTATAACATGTAAGAGTTGTCTTACCTGGTATAAAGTTTTAGTCGTTTTCTGAATTAAACTCTCAAAAGTATCACGCTTCACAAATGATTCAAAACACGTTTTGCTATCTTCGATTTGAACCGATATGTTATTGAACAGGAACTTCCCTTTAATTTTTGGCTCTTTTTTTGTTCTTTGACGATTCACTTTTAGTTTCCTATTGCCAGCTGAAGGTTAACATAACGAAATGAACAACAATAGTTTCTTCCCGAATCGCTGTCGATTTTAATTTCGAGTTTCATTCTTGCAGTCTATATTTATCCATGGTATTGGGTCCAAGGGATGTATAAAGCTGATTACTTCCTTGTTGTGGTAATTAACTACTCGACGGTAGCTTGTAAAATAAAAGAAAAACGCTTTCTTTTGCTGCACAGTCATAGAGCACTTCACCTTAAATTTTGGCAAATAATATAATTGTTTAACATTTGATGGTAATAGTCGTCTTTTTGTTTACATAAATWTATTTATTTTTTTATATTATTATTTTGTCTTTA